TAAACAGTTTCCAAGTATACTAAAGGCATAAATGTAAGACCTTTAATCATAAAACCAAGAGGGAAACAGGGTAGAGATGCTTCATTACATTGGCCTTGGGGATATATATATTTATATATGTATATATATATATATACATATATATGTATATATATATATATTTATATATGTATATATCCCCCAAACCGCAGACAACTGAGTAAAAACTGAATGAAGAAAACCCTAATAAAGGCAGTCTAGCCAAAGAGTCTAGTCTCTATGACCCAAGACAGGCCAGACCTCCCTAGGGATTTATACCATGTCCAGGTGCAGAAAAAAAAGGGGGGCTGTATAGGCCAGGTCTGATGGTATGTGCCTGTAAACTCAGCACAGAGGCAGAAAGATCAGAAGTTCTAGACCAGCCTGGGCTACATAGCAATATCCTGTCTCAAAACAACCTATAGCTATACAAATGGAACAGATATTGCTATACAGTCAAGCCATGCACTGTGGTACCAATGTCCTCCCTCTCTTCGCACCTCTACACAGACTCGGTGAGAAGAGACCCAGTCAGCTTCCAACATGGGTGTTGAGTGACTGCCTGGCTGGCTGGATTGCCATGGAAAGTAACTTGGAAGCCAGTTTCTCTTTAATCAAATATTTATTAACTTCAGAAACTGGACTCACATGGGAAGCAAGAAAATGAAAGTAAAAATAAGAATATTACTTTATATTTTTTCCTCAGTGAGCAGAAGGTGAGTCATGAAATACTTTATTAGATGACTTAGAAGAGTAAAGGCTGACTCACTTTTTCAGAATCTAAATACCTCTGCTTTGAGGACATAATAAAGATTTCTACGATCAAAAACAGTTCATACCAAAAAAATGTTTGTTTGTTTGTTTTTTCCCTTGTTTACTTTTTGAGATCATAATTTATATAACTGTAAGATAATTTATTCATTTGGGATATGCGCTTTCATAGCCTTTTTCACAATATCAAAGTGATAGCATGCCAGCATACGGGAATAAAGAATATTCAATCATCAGAAAGCTCTGCTTAGCCAGGGGACCACTTCAAGTATCTTTGGGGATCATGGGGTCAGGAACCAAAAAGAGTCTCCGAGAGGCCTTCCATGTCTAAAGTCACTTACAGGTATACATGCACAAGCATTAACACGACTGAGGTCTAGAAACTGAAGTCTATCCTTTATCACTCTATAGGGACACCGGTCTTTGCTTGCCCAGTTGTTTATTCTGGGAAACAAGAACTTGGAACTTCTGGCAGGTTCTCACCACCCTCCAGTATCATCATGACCACTCAGACCTACTGACCCTCAGTATCATTTCTACGTAACAGTCCCACTGCTAATCTCCTCCAAGCCCCAAGGACTTTCTGAATGAGAGCTTTGATTCCATGGGTTCAGTGTGAAAACCTTGGGTTCTCACCACTTGCAGAATTCTGTCTCAGTTTCTTATGAGACATAAAAACCTCTTCAAGGTCCATCCTCAACACTCCTTGTCCTCAATTCCTGATGCTAGCGCACAGAACATGGAGTCAGAACCAACACATTTCTCCCCAGACCATTACCAATCTTCACAAATAATGAATGAATGAATGAATGAATGAAGCCACCCCATTAATCACTAATTTTCTTGCTTGTGGTTTTCTGTTATTAAACTCTACCTTTTTTTGAAATAGATATAAAATCACCTTTCATTTTCTAACGGCCAATTTTTCTTGTAAAGTACTGGTCTTCAGAATTGAAGTAAAATAATCATTTCTTATAGAATCTAGGTTCTAACACACATTGAACTGGGTCTGCTGTGTGTCTTCTAACTCTTGACTCTGTGGGATTGTGGGTACTTTCAGGATTCCTCTCAGCCATTTCCACTAGTAATCTTATATCTGAGGTGATATATCCAGTGTGGTCATCCAAACAGGCCCTTCCTATTTGGAGCTGTCTGTTATGGATTATCTCTTGACTCTTAGGATAATTCCTCATTTTATTTTTTTATTATTACTTTATTCTTTTAAATAATAATTTAATTTTACATGTTAGCCATGGATTCCCCTTGTCCTCCCTCCTCCCCCAAATTTTCCCCCCAATCCACCCCCCATTCCCATCTCCTCCAGGGAAAGGACTCCCATGGGGATTCAGCTCAACCTGTTAGATTCAGTCAAGGCAGGTCCAGTCCCCTCCTCCCTTCACCCAGGCTGAGCAAAATGTCCCAACATAGGCCCCAGGCTCCAAAAAGCCAGCTCACGCACTAAGGACAGGTCCCGGTCCCACTGCCTGGGGGCCTCCCAAGAAGTTCAAGCTAATTGACTGTCTCACTTATCCAGAGGGCCTGATCCAGTTCCATGGGGGCTCCTCAGCTATTGGTTCATAGTTCATGTGTTTCCACTAGTTTGGCTATTTGTCCCTGGGCTTTATAAACTCTGCCTTAGGGTTTCTCTTTGTAGCTCTGGCTTTTCTTTTCCTTAGGCTTCTGCTTGCCTTTTTAAATTGTCTCTCTTATAACTCAACTTTCTCCAGGTTATTGATAGAAATAAGGAAGACATTGATTTCCAGTGTAATTTCTGGCATCTAATGAAAACTTTCTGATACATTCACAGACTAAGTCAATCATGAAGACTGGAGGAATTTCTTTTACCCTTGAGTTGTAATAATGAACCCCAAAGGCAATTCTTGCTGAATAGAAAGTTACTCTCTAATCTCTTCTATAATTTATAAGACTGACTAAAAGAACTTCATCATATTGGAAATAGTAACCAAGGATTCTTGGGCTGGGAGATGTCTTGTTCAGTAAAGCCCTTGCCCTACAAGCATAAGAACCTGAGTTCAATCCCCTATATCTTATGGAGAAAAAGCCAGGTGTTTGCAGGCCTAGTGAGCAGCAGCAGTTGAAACCCTGGAGTTTGCTGGCTGAATCAGCAAGCTGGCTCCAGGTTCAATGAGAGAGCCTGTCTCGAAACAAACATGGTGGAGAACTATTAAAGAGACACCAGACATCAACCTCTGGCTTATATATGTGAGGACCTCACACCTACACATGTGCATACACACACACACACAGAGAGAGAGAGAGAGAGAGAGAGAGAGAGAGAGAGAGAGAGTTTGCTTTGTGATTGTTTTTAGTTGAAGAAGAAAATGCCCTCCATTGTCCTTTATCAGTGTGACAATTTTATAATTCTTTAATTCTAAATTGGCTGTTTCTCATTTTAGTTTAGAAAGTTCTGCAAATAAATTCTTCATTCATGTTGATGATAGCAACTCCAGCCAATAAACAGACAACACTTTGGGTTAAATAATTATTTGTTTCCATGGAATACGCCCAATAGTTTACTGCTTTTTACTTCAATTCTGACAATTCTATAAAGAGCTTTGGACTTATGGGTCCTTCCTTTTATCACATGGAAAAAGATCGAACAGCCGCTGTATAGAACAGATGTATTTTGGAACATTAACTGGAAACACAAAAGGAGTAAGATATACATTGTCGCCCCTTGAAAAAGACAACAGTAAGACCCGACGGAGCGAACACTCAGAGGAGAGAGTGGAAATTTGGAAAAGACAAAGGGTGGCAGTGTGCAGATGTGCAGAGAGCTCAGTGAGAAATGAGAAATCAGCAGAGAATAGCAAACTCTTTGTGGGGGTCTGCTGTTCCCTTCAGGGTCATGGATGCTCTCTCAGAGACACACTGCAGCTCTGGGTTGTCACTAGATTGACAGGGTAGCATTCTGTTTACTTTTAAAAGGCAAGGATTTATTAAGGTCACTTGTTCCTTTACCCAAGACACAGTTTTTGAACGTCTGAGACACGGTCTAATTTGACAATCCCATGGCAAGGTTCACACTGCCCTCCTGAACTATCCCTGCACCGTTTCGTTTCCCTCTCTGAGCATCAACATCCACAGGCCTCGGGTAAAGGTTCTTTTTGACCTGCATGACTGTTCTTTAACCAGTTTTCCTATAAGCAACACAAACTCCTACTGACTGTCTAGAAGTGCCTAGACGTATGAACAGCTGCTCATCTGGATACAGTATGGTCCCAGGTCCAGGGAAAGTGAATGACGCTTGTAAGGGAAGCAGGGAGGGGACAGGAAGAAGGGAAATGGGAGAAGGGAGGGACAGAGAGAATACCATGATCAAAGAAAGGCAAAAGTAGTCATTGGGCTTTTAAATTACTTTCTAATGTGTTAACATCTATCTAGCATGTGTGTTTTTAGGATGCGCATCATCTTGTATCACAAGCAAGAACCAAGTGAATATAAGCTAGCGTAATTTTTTCATCAAACCAGAGAAGCTGATACCATGGAGTCATCTGGGAAAGTGAAAAGTAAGCATTTTGCTGAGTCTTGTTGGCCCAGATGTGTAATTTTGTTTTCCTTGGCAACCCAGATGCAATACACAGTAGAAACATTCAGGCACCTGGGTCTCACGCAGTACACGCCAGCTCTAGCCTTTTTCTCTATTACCTTGTAGACAGGGTCTTGTAGGGCATCTCTTTTGGAGGACCCGGCCCATGTCCATGAAGCAAGCAAGACAAACAGAAGAGTCAGACAAGGCTCTAGAGAAGATCTCACCATCATTCTTCTTTCCCCAAATTCCTCTGCTCTGCTGTTATTCTGCATTTCGCTTCTCACCACCTCCATTTACTAATAGGTATTGAGAACACTAACTCCGGATGCAATTGATGAAAAGAAGGCTGTAATTTAGAGCCTTATAAATCCCTGCACGTGTAAATATTCACATGTGTAATGAAGCCTCAGAATTGCTCCCAGGTGCCACCTGGTTACCTTGATTCAAAGAACAGCAACCAGTGTCTGCACCAGACCCAATGACAGCCACAAATAGAGGCTGACCCCCAGCCCTGACTCTCCCAGCTATTGTGATAGGTGTAAAAGTTTCTAAAAACCCACTGTACAGTAAAGCAACAGGCAAACTTGCCCAGAGTTTTAGTGGTGATTTTATTTGTTTGTTTATTATTTATTGAAGCTACATAAACTTTTAAACTTACCCCAATAGCAGCTAAGATTGGAGCCTGGTAAATCCACCGGTCTCCAGCACTAAGTTCCCAACACCTGAGGTGCAAAAGAAAGGAAGGAAGGGAGGAAGAGAGGGAAGGAAAGAAGGAAAGAAGGAAGGAAGGAAGAAAGGAAGGAAGGAAGGAAGGAAGGAAGGAAGGAAGGAAGGAAGGAAGGAAGGAAGGAAGGAAGGAAGGAAGGAAGAGAAAGAAAGCTTAATGAATAAATTTGGCCAAACAAATAAATGAGAATCAACTCTAACCCCAGCTTCTTCTTTTGGAGAAACAAAAACATTTTTAAGATTCTGATCCTGAAGTATCCAAACCACTGAAAACACATTATAAGTCCTGATTTCCTTACCATGAAGGAGCCTGTACATGAGTGTTATAATACAAAGAAGTTACTTCTATAGTGATCAGGTCAAGACCTTGTTTCTACAGCCACCAAAAAAAAAAAAAAAAATTGACTAAGTGTAGCACAATGGCACTTTGCTTTTATTAGCATCAAAATAAGACATAATTTAAAAATTTTGGCAAAGAAAAAATCTATCTTTTTCAGAAGTTAGAGCAATTTTATTTCATAGCTTATTATCTATAGAAATACAACAGAAAACTGAACACAAATGATTCTTATCATAGAAATAAGAACTCAGCTTTGTTGATGGACTATAACTCATTAGTGTTCTCTTGACTAGTTTTTATATTTACTTGTAAACCTTCAGTATTAATTTTCATGAATATAAGTGGTTCATTCATGTCTCATTTGATCCAATTTAACATCTTCCTAGTTACTCCTCATTGAACAGGGAGTTAAACATTTTGGCAGGTGTTCATTTCATATCTGTGTGTGATCCATAATTTGCATCTTTAACATCTACAGATTATGTTAATGGCATTGGTAAAAATACCCCACAATTTAGCTATTCGTTACAATTAGTCTCTAATCCCTAAGGAATATTTAAGTAACACACTGTCAGAGATCAGTGTAGGGAGATGACGGGGTATTGTGAGGTATCCCAAATGCCCAGATTATATAGAATACAGATGGCCATTAAATATTTGTTTTATTGAAATGACATAAATTGAATCCAAAATAAGTTTAACTGAACCTCACCTAATCTGGCTTGTACTGGTAAAAGCCATACACTAGATTAAATATTAAGGGTTTTTTTTAAACTACTTCTACTTGAAAGTTTAAGGTAACACTTGAAGCAACAGTTTTAAACTTATAGACATGTAAATAAAAGTCTTCCATTTCTTTCTACCCAGACAAAATTCAGTATTGATTATACCAATAGTAAATGATATAAAGAATTGGGGAAAATGTGATGTTAATTTTTCAAATTCTACATGATAAACTTATCAAGAAATTGTACTTTATGAATACCTTATAGACAATAAAATGTTATTTCAACAATTTTTAAAAGGTAAAATATTTTCAGTCCATATCTACAACTATGTGTTTTTAGAGTATAGTTTTCATGTACAGGTAATACATTCTCACCTCAAAAATCATAAAATAGAAGACGTCAGCTATACTGAGACACTCTGATCTTCCCCGCATTCTCTCGTTATTTTATTAAATATGCTGTCAGCGCTTGTACATTTCTAAATGAATACAAGCATCATATTCTTACTTTTTCTTATTGCTGTATTTTGGATCTTAAATTACTCCCCACGAGTTAAAGGCTTTGTCCCAGTGTCCAGCGTTACTGGGAGGTGGCAGGAGCTTTACAAGGTGGGGTCCAGTGGAAGGAAAGTGGAACTGCTGGAGGACGCCTTTGAGGGAGAAATTAGGAGTCTCAACCCCCTTTCCTTTTGATTCCCAGATACCATAAAGCAAACAGCCCCTTCTCATTGTGATGAACTATATAGGCCCAACAAGGCCAAACAATCATGGGTCAAAACCTCTGAGAGTCCAATCTGAACTTTCTCCTATTTTTAAGTCCATTGTCTTGAGTATTTTGTCACAGTAACAGAAAGCTGTGATAACTGATAGTGATTATCAGGGTGATACGATCTAAAATCACCTAAAAGACAAATCTATAGTCGTGTCTGTGCATTTCTCAATGAGTGATCAATTTCTGGAGCCCCATCCTAAATACGAATACATTATTACATTATATAATTATATATATATATATATATATATATATATATATGATGGTGGCACCATTCAATAGTTGAGAGAGTCCTGAACTGAGTAAAAAGAAAATAGCAAGCAGAGCATCCGCATTCATCCTTCTCTGCACCCTGACCACAGAAACCATGACCCACCACCTCATGCCCTGCCTCCATGACTTCTCAGCCATGATGCACCATACCTCAAACTGTGACCCAAAATAAATCCTGCTTAATTTGCTTTGGTCTGGTATTTTTGTCACAGGAGCAATAAACGGAACCAAAGCATTAGCACACTTATCTCTCTAAAAAAAATTATATGCTGCTGTGCAATTTTATGTTCCTTTAGAATGTACATATAAAATTGCATATATAGATTTCCTTGTTGATACCCAAATGTATCAGTTGCACATGTATGTTGCAAGACTGTAACACAGAGAACAACAAAACCCCTACGTCAAACTAATTCTGTCCCTCCCAGCTGAGGTCTGCACAGCCAGTGAACTTGGAATCTTAACGGAATGGAAATCAAGACACAGAATTGTTACACTTGCACACTGAACACTGACTTGAACATTTTCAGCATTATGCACTGGCATCCCTCTTTCACATTCTTCAGTAGACAAGAAAGATCAAAGAGTGTTACTAAGTTGCATACATCATGGCTCACTCTACCCTCAAAAGCCTTCAGCTAGAACAAAAGTCTTGATGTACCAGCTACACGGCTTTTGGGTTCCACACATTTTCATTTCAGTTTTTAGCATTGGATAACATCTTCACAATCTCTTCTCTCTGCCTCACTGACATTTTAGCATCATGTCTCCTAACACACGGGATTCAATCATGCAGTTCCAACTCTACAAAAATCATTATTTTTGGAAGTAGGTCAACATCGGCTCTCTCTAAATGAGTCAAAAGCATTGACTCCGGTGGGTTAGAGTGTCAAAATTTCAAATTTTCTTTTTGACATAATAAGAGAGGCAAGTGAGATTTCAGACACTTTCAATAAAATGCTATGACTTCTTATTTTAAATTAATTTTTCAACAGTCCACATCATACCCAGCTGAGGAACTCAACTCTGTTCGGAGGTTTTTAAATGGATTTTTAACACTCTAGGGAATGAATTTCTGAATGTTGTAGTTTCAGGCTCAAGTGTTTGACTGGAAAGTAGGACTTTATACACCAACATTGGAAACCTGTGCCATCCTATCATAGTGAGTAAGCCAGCGCCATGCCCCCCCCCCCCGCCCACTTCTGCCTCCCTCTCCACCATATTCAGTAAAAATAGAGGAGACAAGAGGGGCTGGCCCTGGAGAGTATGCAAATCCTAGATGTTTGAGCGCACCTTTTTGCTGCCTTTTCTACTGCACAACCCACGTTTCCTTCCGAATGATGACGCTAACGTAGAACAAAGGAGTTACAGGTCCCGTCCCCCTTTCCCCACCCCCCACTCACTGGCATCCCTTATCTCCTCTAAATGAAGCAGGAACAAAGCAGGTCTGCTTCTGTTGCTGCGATAAGATGCCCCTATAAGAAGCAACTAGGGAGGAAGGGGTTTATTTGGCTTCCATTTCTAGGCTACAGTCCCTTAATGAGGGCAACCCAAGGCAGGAACTCAATCAGCTAGTGTCACATCACAGCCCCAGTGAGAAAGAAACAGAAGCACCCATGCTGCCTGCTTGTTTGCTAGCCACTCGGCTCACTTTCTTCTGTCTTACATAGTTTAGGACTCCTGCCTAAGGAATTGTGCTGCCCACAGTCGTCAGGGCTTCCCATATCCATTAAGATCATCCTCCACAGACATGCTCCCAGACCAACCTAATCTAGACAGTTCTTCAATACAAGCTCTCTTCTCCAGAGATTTTAAGTGGCAGCAAGTTGGTTGGTGTTTAAAACTCACCGTCGCCAGTGTCTTATAAAGTGTTACCTGTTTTGTAAGTACATAAAACCAAGAAACAGAAAGTACTGATTCTGCAATTTTATCAGTTAGTTTAGCTTCTCCTAGTCTAATATCACTTGGTAGAATTTTAAGATGGGGCCAGGCAGTGGTGGCACATGCCTTTAATCCCAGCACTCAGGAGGCAGAGGCAGGTGGATCTCTGAGTTCAAGGCCAGCCCAGTCTATAGAGTGAGCTCCACAACAGCCAAGGCTACCCAGAAAATCCCTGTCTTGAAAAGTCCCCCCAACCCTTCCCCCCAAAAAAAAGAAGGAAAAAGAATTTTAAGACTGGAAGAGACTACTTTTGTATTTCCAATAGCTTAGAACTGAGGGTGTATTTTAGTGCTAGACTGCGTGCCTAGAAAGTACAAGGCCCTCAGCTCAAGCCTTGGCATCACACACACACACACACAAACATGCAAAAGCAAACTTAGAAGTTGAATGTGGAATGTTCAGAATAATGGACATAGACATATTTTGATCGTTATAGTTCTTTAGATTACATAAAACACAAAGTTCAACATCTGAATCTATACTGTGAGCCTCTCTGTTCTCTGACTTAGGAGGTAAGCCGCTTCAGGGCAATGCGTTAATCTACCACTGCATACAGGCAACTTCATGTGACTTCCCCAAAGGACAACAGTGTCAGGAACAAGAACCACGTGACAGCCTCCGTCCACAGAAACCCCCACCCCCACCCCCACCCGCGTTTTGATTTCCACTAACCTGGTGTCAGCCAGAGTGGCTCGTACCACCGCCCAAGCCATAACAAACACCGCTGGAAATCCTGTAACAAGAAAGAGATTTGGGACCCGTATTTACTTTCAGATCAAGGATCTTTTTTTTTCTCACGTGCCTATAATATTAGCAGTTAAGAGAGAAAAACAGACACACAGAAAGTGTTGTTGTGATTAAGTCAAGTGCACCTAACGCCATCTCATCAGTCTGAGAAGTTACAACATAAAGGGCAAATGGCCCCTGGAGATCTGAAAATGATGACCCTTGGTCAGGTTTTCACGGCAGGGATGGAAGGGGAACCACATTTGAAGGGGATTGGGGTTCCCAAAGCCATAATCATGCAGAGGGTGGTACACTCTGCCTCTCGATGCACAGACACCTGCTTCTAAGGAGTGGAGCAGTGAGGACAGAGAAAAGCTGGGAGAAGCCGTGGGCTTTAGAACATCACGCTGTTTGCATTCTAAAGTGGACGGCAAGGAGATGCTACCAGCAGGTTTTAAGGTCAGGAAGACTGTGGTTTTGTCCTTTCTTTTGACTCCTAACAGAAGAGGTTTTGTTCACACTCATGGGACTGAAGTGACTGCTCAGAAAAGAGGTATTATAAAGAGAGCCTGGTATCCTTCGGTTTCCTCTCTCAGCATCGCTCTCTCTTACATAACACACACTCTGGCAGCAGAAGCTGATGCTCTCAGACCTCCAGAATCATTTGCTGGCTTCCATCTATTCCTTACTAGTTATCTAGCTTCAGCTTCTTTGTTATAGCAACATAAAATGAACTAAGACAGGGGTGTTAACAAATACTTCTATATTTACTTTACCACCCAATGAACAATTGAAAACTATCTTCTAGACTGAGGTCACATTATATACATGTAACACATTACATACAGGTGATGAAATGTTTATACCTGCCGATGATTTTCAAAAAACACAGAATGTGAGGTATTTTCTACATTGAAGGGCTGGCAACCCAGGATAAGAGCTTTTGTAATAATAAGCAGGCATTGGCACCTCTTTGGACAGTTGAAGGATATAAAAGTTAAATACCACACTCATAATAGTAAAAACCTAAAGCGAAACCTTTTAAATACAAAATTAAAGTGCAGAAGGATATATAGATGAGAGAATAAATGGAAGGAAGAATAAAACATCATTTGTGGGAGAAGTGAGACGAGGACAGGAAAAAGTAAAGATGTGTTAGGCTGAACGAGAAAGGCTCATTACTTTCTTTTATTCCCCTCTACATCATTCTTAAAAGTTCGTTTTTGCCTATTCAGAGGGCCTGATCCAGTTTGGGGCCCCTCAGCCATTGGTTCATAGTTCATGTGGTTCCATTCGTTTGGCTATTTGTCCCTGTGCTTTATCTAACCTTGGTCTCAGCAATTCTCGCTCATACAAACCCTCCTCTTTCTCGCAACTGGACTCCCGACTGCCAGAGCTCCACCCGGGGCCTGGCCGTGGATCTCTGCATCCGGTTCCCTCGGTCATTGGATGGGGTTTCTAGCACGACCATTAGGGTGTTTGGCCATCCTATCACCAGAGTAGGTCAGTTCAGTTGATTGGCTTGATCTGTTTGGGAGGCATCCAGGCAGTGGGACCAGGTCCTGTGCTCAGTGCATGAGTTGGCTGTTTGAAACCTGGGCCTTATGCAGGGACGCTTGGCTCAGCCTGGGAGGAGGGGACCGGACCTGCCTGGACTGAGTCTACCAGGTTGATCTCAGTCCTCCTGGGAGTCTTTGCCCTGGAGGAGATGGGAGTGGGGGGTGGGCTGGGGGGAAGGGAAGGGGGGCGGGGGGGGGGGGATAACAAGGGAATCTGTGGCTGATATGTAGAATTAAATTATATTGTAAAATAAAATAAAATAAATTTTAAAAAAAGAATAGAAAAAGTAGGTTCCCTTGTCTTATTCTTGACTTTAGTGGAAATTCTTTGAGTTTTTCCTTATTTAGTATAATGTTACCTTTAAGTCTGTCATTTGTAGCCTTTATTATGCTGAAATTTGTTCCTTTTACTCCTACTTTCTTCAATAGTTTTATCAAATAGGAAGTTCATCATTATCAAAAGCCTTTTATGTATCTGTTGAAATAATCATGTGATTTTTGTTTTTTTATCATATTCATGTCATGTATTATAATTACTTATCTGCATATGAAGAACTATCCTTGAATTCCTGTAATGAAGCCCACTTTGTTATGGTGAGTGATCTTTTATGTGTATTTTAATGTAGCCTATAATAATTTTATTGAAAATTGTTGTTTATGTTCACTGGAAAGATTAGCCTAAAATTTCTTCTTTTATTTATTGTATTTTTATCCAGTTGGGGTATTAGAAAATAAATGCTATTTTATGGGGAAACAATTTTCACATTGTGTGGCTATGTGTGTGTGAAAGTGTGTGCCATGTGTATGTGGTACCTACAGAGACCGGAAGCATTGGACCCCTAGGAGCGGGAGTCACTGGCTGTTGTGAGCCACCTGACGTGAGTACTAGGAATTGAACTGAGGTACTCTGGAAGAATAACCTGTGCTCTTAATTGTTGATCAATCTTTCCACCCCCGTCTCTACATCTTTGTGGTTAAATCTTATAAAAAAGTGGTCAGGTTAATACTTGTCTTTAATCCAGAAATAATCAGATAGGCATTGGTTCCTCTTCAGATTGTAACTTTTTTTTCAATGCACTGTTTAAAATGTTTGTTTTAAAAACCAGTGTAAATAGTGTATCACTAGATTTCTAAGTACTTGCCTAGCTGAAGAGAGTTTAAATGAGTGATAGAAGGAAACAGCTAAGTTCCCTTCTACAATAAAGCCGACAAATCATGTCATTGAGAGAAAATATGCAGTTGGATTCTCTGAATTATTTCCACTTTGCAAAGCAGATGTCGTGCTTGTAAGCATTTGAAGAATGGATTTGTGAAAATAAAATCAGTCTCTCAGTTTCTGAGATATGAGAACAGCATAATCTATCAATCAACCAGATGTAGATAGGAACTTTTTAAAAGAGTTTTGCTTTCAGAGCCAGGAATCTTCTCATTAAAATAATGCCCTAGAACAGCATTTCTCAACCTGCGGGTTGTGACCCCTCTGGTGGGTCAAGAAGCCCTTTCACAAGGACATATCAGATAACCTCAATATCAAATATTTACATTATGACTCATAACAGTAGCAAAATTACAGTTATGAAGTAGCAACAAAATAATATTATGGTTGGGGGTCAGCACAGCATGAGGAACTGCATCAAAGGGTCACAGCATCAGGAAGGCTGAGAACCACTGCCCCGGAATATCTTTTAAAGACTGGAGTCGCAAAGAGAGAGTCAGAAGATAGACTAGCTGCAGAATTTATTGTCGTGTGGGATTGTGCTAATGAAATCAAGCTAATGTTGGGTAAAAGACGCTCCATATCCATAACTGTGAAGATCCTATGTACTTTAATGTGCGTTCTTAAGTCTCCCCCAGGAAATAGAGATTGCAAAGGACTGTGCTTATTTACTGCCTTGTCGTCCCAATGACAAGATCATTGTGAGCAAATTAACCAAAGTTGTAAAGGAAAGTTAGAATCCTCTGCTTGCATGAAAGTCTGCTAAGAATAAGCCACTTTTACCCTTTCTTTTTTCCCCCTTTGGAAGATCTGAAATCAAGTCTCCCAGGTTTCATTGTGAACTCCCAACTTTAACTGAGCAAAACAGATTGCACTGAGTGGCAAGAGCCCAAAAAAGAGCTGATGAGAGGGTCTGAATCTGTTCATTATCATACCATAAGAAATTAGAGAAAAATGAATTTGTAGTGCACACAATCGATGTAGAAATTCATAAAAGGAAAGAAGCGAGCTGGGTTCACAGGCAAAACTCTACCCATAAACACCATTTCAAAATTACGACAGCATTACAGTCAGCTGATGTCTTGTCAATCCTAAAAGCCTTCAGTGAGTGAACCAGTTCCCTTTTCCTTAGTTCACACTTCCAGATGCTGTAACAGTTTTAAGGCAAAATGAGCAAAGGGAAATGTTCCTGCTTCATTAGGAAGGGAAAAAAAACAAGTCTTCCAATTTAATCTTGAGACATTAATACCTTTCTCCTATGCTGAGCACTCATAATTCAAATACTAAAGTAGCAACTTAGGTCTGTCTACAACTGTTCAATTTCCAGGTGCTTCTCTTTTAACCACCTCGGGGTTTCCTTTCCCTGAAATTTTAACAAGTCCACAGTATTCTCTTTTCTGTCTCTTGTTGAGATTCTGCCTGATCCAGTAATTGCCCGGTACTGGTAAGTAATTTGTGGAATGTGAGCTGAATATCATGTTTTTTAAATTTACTCTACTGAAAAAGTAATTTGAATAATCACCTTCCAAGAATGGTAGGGCTCCAGAATTAGTTTGTAACTTTCTGTGTTAAATGCAGTCAAAACAGTACTATAGATGCTTTTCTAACACTCTCATTATTTGACCTAGAAACACAAATCGGAGGTACACTGTTGTAGCTTATAAATTCAAACTTCAAAACTGTTAGGAAGAAAACATCGACAGAGCAGACAAGGCACAAGGCATGGGCCTGGAAGGTTGGAACAAGTACAGCTAATAATGTGCCCTTTCCAGTTTCCTCCACAGAGTTCTAGTGAGAACTTGGCCTAGAAACACTAACCACAAGTTAAGTTTGAGAAGTTCATTAAATGTGTTTCATTAACAGGACAATGAAACAAAAGAAACGTAATAAGGTAAGATGGGCGGGGTTATTTTAGGGAAACGGCTGAAGGAATGCTGGTGATGGACAAGGCACAATACACTCAATTCCACAGCCAGTCAGAGGAAAGGTGACGTCAGTGCTTACCCCAGCCTATCAAGATGAAGCCCCACAGGTATTTGGTGTCCGAAAAGAAAGACACAAAGATTAAGTTATGCAGGTAGAGCCCTTCCACCAGGATCCAATAATAGTTTGTAGCCAAGAAATAAATAAACATCACAACAGCGATCTTGCACCCGACCTGTGGCAAATGAACCAGAATTGCATTGAATTAGGACATTTTATTCAAGAATAAAAGACAGTTCTTATATTTACCTTCTGATAATCAGGAATGTCTTCATTCAGGAGAATGCCAAGAATGTTGAAAAGAGCAGAATCAAGTTGTCTTAACACAGGACTCTACAAACTACCAACTTGATCTGTTTTTAAAGTAAGATATTTTTATTTTAGTAGTTACCAAATTTCATAATTCTTTATTTTTATAAAAATGATATATGATCATCAGAAAAAAAAACAGGATAAAAAAAAGAGGAAAAAATATTACTATTAGTCATGTTTCTATGATGAATTTGTTTCATTCCGGGCTTTTCATGTGACTACTACAGCAAAATAAACTGCACCAAACGTTAATGACTGAAAAGAGCAAACATTTCACATCTGAGGGATGATAGAAGGGCTCATCGTTCTGCAGATCTGAGCAGAGCTCAGTTCACCCTCGCCAGACTCCCTCACAGAATCTGCTTCACCCCGTTCACTGTCACTTCATTCCACAATGCTGGAGAAACCAAATCACAGGCCAGGCCAGAATCACACAGCAGGACCACAAAGTCAAAGGGAAATGGAGATCCAGGCGGCCATTCACTGGGCCTGTGGAGGAAATCAATCCACTACTATAACTAAGTGCCAGGTGCCAATCTAAGTTGATTATCTCCCATGATCAAATTGACTGAACTACTGTGTGACTCTAACCTCTAAGACTGAAAAGAGTCTCATGCCCTGGAGTTTCCTGCTGGCACAAGACTTCAAGGATACAGCAAGGGAACTGAATGTGGTAGCCTTTTACATCCCACACATCTGTTTTTTGCTGATGAGATTTTATTTTTAAAGGTACCCACAACAGCCACTGTGATTCATATATCAAATTCCATTGCAATTGGGCATTTTGCAGGATGTTCTTGAATAATGAGTCCAAATGAGTGATTACACATGGGGAGATAGATAGATAGATAGATAGATAGATAGATAGATAGATAGATAGATAGATAGATAGATAGATCCCAATGCAAGTTAATGTTTAGTGGAATATGAAATGAAACTCATTTTAAAAAATTCTGTAGTCAGAGAAAATGAGAACACGTACATACTGAGATTTGTCCACAGATGGTCCTCCAATGAAGTTCTGAAGGTCACCCTGTATCACCAGAGACTGCAGCGCCTCTATTCCTAGGTGAGCCTGGGCCACTCTGTCCTTGACAAAGATGCTCACAGCTCTCAGCATGAAGGACACAAACAGATGCAGGTGGATATAGTTCCTAGTGCAGTGCAAACGTCTGTGCAGAGAAAAGGTTTATTATTTAAATTGGATAAAATTAGGACAAAGGAAGAAAATAATGCCCAACAAGCCCAAACACCTCCTCGCTAAAGGAAAACATGGTAAACTCAAATGTGAAAAGTCATGATTAGGTTTCTTGCAGAAATGACTTGAGTCTCAAATTGAAATGTAACTTTATGAGTATTCATTTCAAATATATTCTGACCTACCATCATTGCAATCCAATTCTTGCTATGCTATACTACAGTATCAATACAGTGCGCTCTCTCTCTCTCTTTCTCTCTCTCTCTCTCTTTCTCTCTCTCTCTCTCTCTCTCTCTCTCTCTTCCTTCTTCTCTTCTCTTTTCTTTTCCTCTCTTAACTTGAACTCCAACAGTAAGAGTCTGTTACAAATTCACTAAATGAATTGGGATGTCAGAAAAGAAATCCTGAGTTCTCGGATAACAAGGTTCCTTGACTCACACATGGGTTTGATGACTCCTAACCATGTCTGTTCTTTGCTTACATCCTATACTTAGGTATCACTTGAGGTCTCAGTAGGAGACATTCCTTCTCCCTTGTCTACCCTCCAAAATCATTACACACTGGTTGGCATTGTGCAAACCACTGTGTCCTCCCTTTGGGACACCTATAGCCCTTACTCCTTCTTTCATCAATTCCTGGACTCACAACTGTGGGTATGGTAGTATAACCATGCTATACTTACTGTTCTCTGGTATGGTTCAATTGTGTTGGTCATAATCTTGTGTCAACTTCAATTATATGGAATTTTGTGGGTCACAAATGTAATACTATTTTATGTACTGATATCAAACATACTTTTGTCCAACAATACCAAAATAATTTGGGAAAAAATGAGTTTCTCCACCACAAATGAAAATGTTTGTTAAATTGTATGCAATACCAACCACTTTGCAAACAAATATACTGAACTAGAGATTGATTAGCTCAAAGGCTTCACACACTTGATGCTTTCACGTTTTAGAAAACATGAAAATTAATTTTCAAATACAATTAACAATATGTTTCATTAAGAATCTGTGGGAAGCAGAACCAGGTGGATCTCTTCTAGGCCAGCCTGGTCTACAGAGAGAGATCCATGACAGACACCAAAAAAAAAAAAAAAAAAAAAAAAAAAATCTTGTAGCTGATGTATTCCTGTGTCCACCCGGCTCCTGCAACTACTCAGATCCAAGTAAACACACAGAGACTTATATTACTTATAAACTGTATGGCCGTGGCAGGCTTCTTGCTATCTAATTTTTATATCTTAAAATAACCCATTTTTATTAATCTATAAGTTGCCACAAGCTACTTATCCCACCTATACTATACTTCCTGCCTGGCTACTGGCCAATCAGCATTTTATTTATCAATCAATCAGAGCAACACATTCACAGCATACAGAAAGACATCCCCAACAGAATCTTGTATTAGCTAAAAAGGGAAATTGGAATGGGGATGTAGCCTAGGTGGTAGAGTGCTTGCCTAACATTCATGAAGCCCTAGGACCATATAAATCAGGTGTGGTATTTAGACTGCATTTCCAGCACTATGTAACTGGAGGCAGGAGGATCAGGATCAGATAGAGCATCATTAATGTGGTGGTTAGAAAGAAAATGGCCCCCAAAGGGAGTAGCACTATTTGGAGGTGTGGTCTTGTTGGAGGAAGTATGTCACTGTGGGGGCGGGCTTTGAGGTCTCTTTTGCTCAAGCTTCCCTCAGTGTGACTTTCAGTTGACTTCCTGTTGCCTGTAAGATGGGAAGCAGAGCCAGGTGGAAAGCCAGCTGCTTTCAGCTCCAGCGCCACATCTGCCTGCATATCACCAGGCTCCCTTCATGATGATCACAGACTGAACCTCTGAAACCGTAAGTGATCCACCTCAAATAAATGTTTTCTTTGTAAGAGTTGCCATGGTCATGGTGTCTCTTCATACCCATAAAAACCCTGAGACAATTAGCCACACAGTGAATCTGAGGCCAGCCTGGGCTGCATGAGACCCTATCGCAATAGGAAAAGGTTAGAGAACACAGATTGTATGCATTGGATGTCTTCTACAGATAGGCATTAGAACATTCCTTTTGGGAGAAAAGTAATTGGGAGCTACTCACCTGAAGTAGCCGATGATGAGAATGGCCACAGCCAAAGAGCCAAAAGAGATAGAGTAGCCAACAGTGTACAGGATGTAGAGGCTTTCAAAGAACTCTTGCTGTAGGGGAAGAGACAGTCATCATATGTAGAAGAAAATGGTTCAAAACAATTACATCATTTTTGGAATATTGTCTCTGGTTCTCGTTAGCTTTTATGGACTGTAATTTACATGCTATGAAGTGGACAAGTCTAAAGCATGCTGCTTGGCAGGTTTTGACACACCAAGTTCATTTGTGCTCCGTACCAGTCAAAAGGCCACCCACTGTCCACCCACACACAACTGCTATTCCAATTTTTGTCACCACAAATTAGCTTTCTCTGTTCACACACTTCATATTCTTCCAGACTGTTCTTAAGACTTAAAAGCTATAAAATGTGTGCTCTTTTGAGAACAGACAGCTTTTGATAATCTTTAATACTGTTACATGTATTTATACTTCATCTTCTGTTAAATTTTTATTTAAAAATAAATAGATAGAATCACAGAATATGGAAAATATAATAAGTGGTGTTTCATGTGTCCTCCATCCATTGTCCTTTAATGGTTATATCTAACATAATTATACTAGGATATACAAACCAAAAATTAAATATTGTTGCAATGTACTGACCGATATAGCTGTGTAATTGTATCACACATGAAAATTTTTATGACTACCACCAAAATCAAGACACGGAAGTCATCCACCAGTGTAAAGATCTACTATACTGCTCATAGGCAGCCATGTCTACCTCCTTCTTCCCCAGCATCCAGCACCTGGCAACTTTGAATCTGTTTTCCATGATACGATTTTCATTTCATGGTGGTATGTAAACCAACTGAGACATTAAAATATTTACTGAAGAGTCCTTGAGAGCCATCCAAGTTGTCACATCCATCACTAATTTTTTTTATTGCTGAGTAGTATTCATGGTATGTTCATATCATATATGTTATTATGCTTGAGTGAGTTCTTTATCAATAGTATACAGTTTGATCATATTTTAACAGATTCAACCAGTTGATTTGTGTATTTAGAATGTATTTTATACAGTATCATTTTTTTCTGTTGTGTTTTTTTTTGTTTTAAAAAAAACTTCTAACTTGTGTGTTGTTTGACATCTTTAGAATTCTATTTTATTATTTTGTATATTACTGTCAATGTTTGTTTTAGGTATCACATTACCCAGCTGAATGCAGAAGCTGTACTCCTGCACAGAATAACTTCAAATTTTCAATGATCTTACTTTCTAATTAATCCATCAACATTATAACTTTCTTTCTAGATTCACATTTGATATTTCACATAAATTATGTACTTCAGACTTTTATTTATTCAGTTTAGACTTTCCCTGAGTCATGTAATTTTCAATTGTTTGTGAATTATTTATGTACTTATTTTAATTTTTAATTAATCATTTTATAGTCAGAGACCATATTTAGAATTTCAGTCAAGGCACTTATGGAAAGTTATTTTTAGACTGGTGTAAATTCTATCTTGATAAAACTTTGATGTGTGCTCTAAAAGATGTGACTTTTGAATTACTGAATATTCTATAACTGTCAATTCAATTCAATGTTTGAAAGATAGCCTATAGAATATGTATTATCTGTTGCTTGTTGTCTTTTGAGAAATGTCCATTTACATCCTTAGCCTGTGAAATAATGGCTTTATTTCTTATATTGAGTTGTCCTTATTCCTTACATATTCTGATAGATCCTTTGGGTGGGGAGGGGAGTCTTCACTACATAGGCCAGGCTGGCTTTGAACTCACAATCCTTACCTGCACATGGTGGAATTAGAGGTTTGCTGCACCATGGATGGATGCTGGATGAATACATTCTTACAGTTCTTGTGTATGCTCTCCTGCTCAGTATGTTGCCTCTTTGTTCTGCCCACCTCCACAGTGACACACTTCCTCCAACAAAGCCACACCTCCCAATAGTGCCACTCCCTTTAGGGGCCATTTTCTTTCTTTCAAACCACCATACTTCCTTCTACATTCCTCCCTCCAAACAGAGCTACTATACGATGGCCTGTTCTATGGTCCTCGTAACAGCTCTTGTACATCAGCTTAACTACACTCATTCCCAGCTTCATGGTCATGTGTCATCACACACTTTTGCTCAACAGGTCTATGTGATTGGAATCTGACTGTGAGTTTTAAACAACTGGATATAACTTTTTCATATTTACATATGGTGGGAATACCAAACCACTCCAATAGGAAACTGGGATGCCAGAGTTTAGCCTTCCATCCTGCCATCAGCAAACTGTTTCATGAGCTCACACTGTTTCCCTGGTTCACAGTTGACTCATATCCATGAAATGAAGATATTGTACTGGAAGACCTATATGTTGAACCTTGGTGAGTATTATGCTACAACTCTGATTCGTCACTTAAAATGAAATCATCAATTGCAATCTTCTGAGATGGAACACACTAAATGTGTCATTCACTAAAATGAAAAGATCCTTCAGAAACACAGTGAGATGAGATTTGGCATTCATAGGTAATTAAGAATGAATCATGTTTCTCACTACCTATTTGTATATATATTATAATATAGGATAATATAACATAACAACGTAATATAGTAGTGTGCATGTGTGTGTGTGTGTGTGTGTCTGTGTCTGTGTGTGTATCTCAGCCAGATAACTCTAACGTAAAGAAAATAGGAGAATGTTCAGCTGCATTTGAAAGGATTCTACAAATATTTGTATCTTTCATGATCTTTGTATCATTGAATAAAAAGGATTTTGTATATAATGATTGACAAGCAAAAATTGTGTAAAAACATCATTCTGCTTTTCCTTGGAGAGTTGCAAACATAGAAATGTCATTACCTTTCCTACGCTGATATCTGGCTGCAGAACGCAGTCTGAATAATTAGCCCATGTTTTATTTGAGCTATGAATAAAATCCCACGTTCCATTGGGGGTACAGTGCCGGAAAGCAACTCCTGGAAAGACAGGAAAGATGCTGAGATTACACAGTTCTCCCCATGTCTGTTATTAAACACCAAAGAAAGGAGTAAATGTCTGGTCGCAATCAATCATCTCAGGAAAGTTCAATACCTTTATGATTGAAGTCATAAATGTAAGGGGGGCATGGCACAGCTGCCATCTTCCCCACTGTTCCTCTTGGCCAACAAATGAGTCCATCCCATTCTGGGAAGCAATTGCCTTCTGATAAGAAACAGAAATAAAGAACACAGTGTTAAACAAATGCTTCCAACACAGGAAACTTCAGCTCAGTCCCTGGGGCAGAATGTAAAACACACAGGTAAGTTTGGAAACTAAGCCAGAAGAAATGAGATGCAAATGTCTCAATCTGGGCACATTAGCAGGAGTCTTTGATTAAAGGATCTAAATCATTAAAGTATCTAAAGTATCTAATCAGTAAATTAAAGTGTCTAAATCCTTCCAGTATAGTCTCCATAAAAGCAACAACAATTAATGTATAAGAAACATTGGGATCACTGTGAACAGCTGTGGCGTATTTCTTCTAACTGTCCTGGTAGTAGCTACAAAATTCACCTTAAATTTTTAAAAACTGCTGTTGAAGAACATGATACACAAAAATGACTCAAGACTCGGGTTATTTTTACTAATAAGTATGAATCTCAAGCTCACTTCAGACACAGCTGTCATAGCTCTACACTTCTCTTTTATTTTTTTTAATGATTTATTTATTTTTATTTTATGTGTGTTGGTGTTTTGCCTGCGTGTATATCTCTGTGAAGGTGTCAGATCTCCTGGAACCAGAGTTACAGACAGTTGTGAGCTGCCATGTGGGTGCTGGGAATTGAACCCAGGTCCTCCGAAAGAGCAGTCAGTGCTCTTAACCACTGAGCCATCTCTCCAGCCCCCTCTATAGTTCTCAAGATGAATTCAGTCTCATTATTGTTACAACCTCCAAGTCCATCACACCTCTAGCTAGTGGATGAGTTTCCAGCAGGTCATTCTTACTGCATAGTCCCTGTATTTGTTTTCTTCTTCCTCTTCCTCCTCTTCCTCTTTCTCCTCCTTTTCTTCCTTCTCCTCTTTCTCTCCCCACCCCTAAGCCTCTCCCCGGGACGATTTTCTACAGCTCTCGCCACCAGTGTGCTTGTGCTTCTCATGATCAACTGTGGATAGTAATGCAACATGTCAGGATAGAGAGCAAGTCTAGCTCGACAAGGCTAGACAAGGGCAAGCTGTGTTCAAGTCCTCGGACACATGAAGTTCCTGCAACATAGTGTGCACTCCCTGCTTTGTAGGTCCCAAGGTAGGAAGGTTTCTAGGGTCTTTCAATGTCTAGGAAATGGTAGATCTGCAGTAGAGAGTCCATACACTCCAGAAAGTTCCCAAGTCTAAGCCACAAGCCACAGGCCCATGATGAATCCTTGGCTTCTCTTGTCCTTACTTCCTGTTTAGCAAATTAAGTTACTTCCTGTTACCTGCTGTGTGCCTGGGTGTTCTCTTACCCAATTCAAACACCAATGACACATTCACTCTTACCACATTAGCTCCCAAATCCTCCCAAAGTCCCCTGCCCCCACCTCCCTCTGAGCCACAGCCTACTTCCTGGTCAGGTCTGAAGATTGGGTAGAGAGCTCAGCCAGCTCTTCCTGGATTTCAATGCTGTTCCTCCTGAACACCTCAGTACTCCGTTCCCTTCCCTCCTCCAGACTTTTTCTCAAATGTCAACTTCAGAGTAAACACTCCCAATCTGAAGTTGCATCCCAATTCACCCCTCCCTCTCCTCCTGCTGTGATTCTCTCCAGTTCTCATCGCCTTCCAGTATTATGTGGAGGGTTGGTTTTTTTTTTTTTCTATTGTTTTCTTGAGTCTTAGGATTGAAGAAACCCAGGTAGAGCTCTGTCGTCTGTCTTAGTTTCGTGCATTAGCCATGCTTCAAGCACAGCCCCTAATACTTAGTAAAGTTTAGCAACTGTTCACCCTCAATGCCGCGCTCTCCAGGGCTCATTTCCTTTGGTCATATACTGAACTGCCGAGAAGAAAGCTCATCAGCCACGTCACACCCCCACAACCCCAACAGAGGCACTTGTCCTGAGTGCTGCATTCATTTTCTATGACAAGTTTCACAGTTTTAAACAAGGCCAGAACTCTGCCTCAGTAGGGACTTTGCTTATGAATTCACAAGGCCAAAACCAAGGGCTGACATGGCTGTGTTCCCTTCTGAAGACTCTGAAGGTACCCATATACCTCCCTGTTCATTTCAGCAGTGGGCAGGGTTCAGTTACTCCACTGGGAAATGGGTTTCTTTCTGGCCGTTAGCAGTGCACCTGCCCAGCTTCTGAAAACAGTTCACATGATTGGCTCCTGACATCCTTCATTCATCTTCAGAGTCAGCCGCACAGAGTGGATCCTTCTTGAATTTCCAGTCCCTCTCCACTCTCCTTTGCTTACAACTCAACTCATTCTGCCGTCTTCCTCTTCCAGTTTTCAAGACCTAGATGATTGTATTGTGTGAACCCAGGTAACCCAGAACAGCTTCCACATTTCAATGTATGTAAACCTAAGTCCATCTACAAAGTCTCTTTTGACTATGGGCATAGCATACATGGGCATAACACTGTGTGGAGCCATAGCTGTCTTTAGGGACTCCTTATTCTGCTACCACGAGTACTAGCTAACACTCATCATGTCAAACCATTTGATTTGAAAGTCAGCCCAATAGAACCTCCTACGAACACTGATATCCCCAATAATAATTCAGCATCAACCTGGAATTAACTTCTCAGTGTCCCCTTGTCACCTAGAAACAAACATTTGATCTGTTTTGTGTCTTGCTGAAGGGAATAAGAAAAGAAAATGTCTTCATTCACCCACACTGTTCTCACAGAAGAGAACGTTTTCCTGGAAACGGCCTCACTTCCCCCACACAATCACAGCCCGACTTCACACACCACAGGCAACCCTGGAGTTCATCCCACTGCCTCTTGCTTCTGATGGACCATTGCATCTGCCTCTCTTCCTACAGCATCTGCTTTTGCTTTTGCTGATGCTGTTGCTGGATGTGGTGGTGGGCCTTTGCTTTTCTTGTTGCTCACCGTGACTGACGACTCAATCTCACCCATCAATTTCTTTTACGATGTGCTAGAATTCCATACCCATTTACTTCCCGCCCATTTACTTTGCTGTTCATAAGTCATGTGTCTTTTTATATCTGGACTATTGCTAAAGTCTGGGTCTTAAAGGCCCCACAAAGTCCCATGGGTTAAAAGCTTAGTCACAGCTAATGCTGTCGGAAGGTGGTAGGAACTTTAATGTGTGAGACCCGGTGATGCATCTTCTGGTGATGGGGTGTCTTCCCTGGAAGGGACAGTAGGGTCCCTTCCCTCCTCTTTCCAGGAGTTGAATAGCTTTGCTCTGTAATAATGTTTCTGCCATGTTATCCCGCCATGGGCCCAAAGCAACAGAGGCAACCAGTTATAAAATAAAACCAAAACTGTGAAACAAAATAAACATTATATTTTGTAGAAGCTTATTTATCCCAGTTATTGGTTATTGTTTCAGAAGGTTAACACTACTATCCAATCAATACATACTTCACAAACAACACAAACTGAACCTGAAAGCATGGTCTTGTTTTCCTGTCTGGAAAATGCATGAGGCAATGTCATGTTCTATATTTGGGAGTGAGTCACACAATGAATTAAAGTCTTCATATAAACGTAAAAACCTATGGGTCAGCATAGCCTACAATTACTCGTTACTAAGATGGCCATGAAAAGAAACTTGTTTCTTAGGTTCTGAGACAGTTTTCTGGTTTCTACAAGATGCCATCCCACACGTGAACAAACACAGCCATAGACCTCACCCCCAAATTCAGAACACCAACAGCCTTCAAAACAACGTTTTTATAGGACATGTTAATGTGTCTGGTGGCTCTTTAACAATAAGAATGATAAATATTCACAAAAGGTTGTAAAGACTGGGAAGCCTAGACCTCAAACATACAACCTGGGGTTCTTAATTAACATCTTCTCCTTGGTCGTCAAGCGAGAAATACTTCCATTATTTGGCACAAAACTGACTACTAATGGCTCATTACAGTCCTTTTTATAAATTAACACCACTAATTATAACTCTGACTCCTGTCCGTATTCCAAGCAAAGCTAATTATTACTGAAGCTTGTTCAGCCATATTTACACAGAATGGTCTAAAATTTAGAAAATCTAGCTTTTATCCTGTTAGCTTTTGAGTTACTCATAACAAAATCATACCATACTTGGAAGGAGAATCGGAAGGAATGAAACTGTAGAATATTATTTTAAGATGTGTTACATCTGTCTATGCTGTGGAACATCTGTTTAATGATGCAAAGATGTGTTGCATTCTTTCATGTTGCATTTGTTTAATTATGTGAAGCTGTGTTACTTTGCCTGTCTAAAACACCTGGTAGTCTAATAGAAAGCTGAGCAGCCAATAGTGAGGCAGGAGAAAGGATAGGTGGGGCTGGCAGACAAAGAAAATAAATAAAAGGAGAAATCTTGGAGAAAAAGAAGAGAGAAGAAGGAACGAGAAGGGAAGGAGAAGGATGCTAGGGGCCAGCCACACAGCCACACAGCCAACCATGGAGTAAGAGTAAGGTGGAGCTCCAGGAGTCCAATTGGCGAGAAAGAGGAGAGATTGTATGAGCGAGAATTGTTGAGACCAAGGTTGGAAAAAGCACAGGGACAAATAGCCAAATGAATGGAAACACATGAACTATGAACCAATAGTTGAGGATCCCCCATGGAACTGGATCAGGCCCTCTGGATAAGTGAGACAGTTGATTAGCTTGATCTGTTTGGGAGTCCCCCAGGCAGTGGGGCCGGGTCCTGTACTCAGTGCATGAGTTGGCTGTTTGAAACCCGGGGCTTATACAGGGACACTTGGCTCAGCCTGGGAGGAGGGGACTGGACCTGCCTGGACTGAATCTACCAGGTTGAACTCAATCCTCAGGGGAGTCTTTGCCATGGAGAAGGGAATGGGGGGTGGGCTGGGGGTGGGTTGGGGGGGAGCGGGAGAGGGGGAGAACAAGGGAATCCATGCTGATATGTAAAATTAAATTAAATTATAAAATTTTAAAAAAAGAAAGTTTAATAACATAACAGGAAAATACAAGTGCTTGTTTAAAATATATTAATTATAAATTTTCAAGATGAAAAATTTCTGGAGATTGGGTAAATAATAATGTGGATATACTTAATACTTGAACAGTAAATGTAAATGTAGACAAAATAGTAAGTTTAAAAATTGTGTATATTATATCACATTTAAAACATTTTTAAAGGATTGGATAAGTTACACTTAACTAACAAAGCAAGAAATAGATTGGTGTTGGTTAATTAACTTTTTAATGTGATCATCTAAGTATATATAATTTTAATATTTCAATCAAAAGTATCTCTAGAGTTGTAGAAGCCTTCTTTATATTGATAAGATACTTAAACACTGAAAATAAATTTCTGAACTTGCATATATTTAATAACATAGTTTCAAAGTCTAGGAAGTGAAAGACATCCAATGAACTATTCAATGAAAAATTCACCAGCATGCTATTATAAAAACTTGTGTCTTAAGAAATAATAGGTCAAAAAAGTGCATGCCTTTAATCCCAGCTCTCAGAAGTCAGAGGCAGGCAGACCTCTGTGAGTTCAAGGCCAGGCTAAGCTACAGAGTGAGTTCCAGGAAAGGCTCCAAAGCCTGTCTCTTTAAAAGAAGAAGGAGGAGGAGGAGGAGGAGGAGGAGGAGGAGGAG